CGAATCATAAATTCTCACTTTTGTCACTGTCTAGAGATAAATGGATTCCAGTTACATGCTTTGAGGAAGTTCCGTGCAATGGGCTGATAGTGAGGGACATCCTATTCCATTTCTATCAGTGTTCCTTCTACTATCACATTTTTCGGGGGGAGAGAAAAGCTCACCGCGGCGCGGAGGCGAGCGCGTGTAGGTGACGTCACAGCTGACGACAAAACGGCAACGAGAGGGCGAGGTAGGAGTGTTGCTGTCACTTCGTTTGGCTGATAGAAGGGATACTAGCATTCACTAATTGATGCAGTCAGTAGTACCGTGAGCAAAGAGGTTGTATTGTGTGTGGGTACAACTTTCGCCGTCGAAAATTAGGAATATTTTTGCAAATTTGAGGGAATTAACGGTTTCGCATTTGAAACCCAACGAGTGCGCAATTAAGTCGAAGTTGATTACTTTAAGTTCATTCTTCGTTATTACTTCTACTCACTGCACAGTGAAGTCAGAATCGACAGTGTCTAATACGTATTGTTACAAAGTAATGGCGCCTGTCTTGCCCAATCCCTCCCCGCTGCTGTGACGTCAAATTGACGTCACCTGCACGCGCTCGCATCCGCGCCGCCGGTGAGCTATTCCATGGAGCCAGGGAATCGGAGCTTGGCCATTTCTAGCAGTCAGCGTGAACCTCGCATTGAGCGACTTTGGCTAAAATACCCCATCCACCAGCTACGCTGGCTGCACAACTCCGTTTCACCAACGTCTCCAGGTTCTACATCCACGTGTTCTTTCCATCCAACCTAATTAAAGCTATTTTTGACTCCAAACATCACCCAATAGGGTCTATCCAACGAGGGGGCGGGGTGCAACAGCGAAAGAGAACGGGGTATGTACCCTCTGTTCCAGAAAACAGAAGCGCGTTGAGTGCAGACCACACACCTTAACCCTACCGCCGTTGTGAATGCGTCACTACTTCCTTCTAAATTCTTTCATCAATATTAATTAACCCTTCAACAATTTCATAGGAGGTAAGTAGCGGCAATGTATTCCCGGGCGCCGAATGTCGATAATGGTATTGTGCTACTTTTGAAACATAAGAAAAATCGCCAAAATAAACCCCTAAAAGTGCCACCGAGAGAAAGTGTGGCCCACCGGCGGGCCACACGGTCGTCAAAGGGTTAAATAAGGACGTCCTCCAAGGTAAACGAGAGTTGTATTTAGTGACAACCGACAGAACACAAATGCAACAGGCTAATCATTTCATTGGCAGAAAACAATCACATTTTGTGTAGGCCGTCGTCACTTGTGTGTGGTCTGCAGTTAACGCGCTTCTGATTCATGAAACACTATTGAGTGTACTTTAGAAACAGCGGAAATGATTTTCAAATTTATACAGTTGCCTTATCTACTCCGAAAAAATCTTATATAAATCCGCACAAACCCTCTTTGCACTGTCGAAAATTCCCTACACGTCGACTGCTTAATTGAACTCTCCTGAAAGCACAGCCAATTGGACTTCCTCTGCCAAAAAAGGACCCCCTATCAAACGACATCCTTAACACATTCACGCCGATGGCCGCCCATATGGGCTGCCAACAACATGCGCCCCTAGGGCCATGGCAGCTCACATGGGCTGCCAACTGATACTCGCTTGCCAGGCGCTAGGAATGGACAGATTGGTGGGCAAATCTCGTAATCGAGTGTCAAATGCTCTTAAATTCCTTCACGGAGAAAGTGAATAAATGTTCTCTTTTTGTGATCACTATTTGTCGTTCTGATCGAACTCCTGCTGTTATATGTTGAGATGAGCTTTACGTATTGGACATTGCAGAAATTATTTTGTGACATTCATATTTTTGTTCATTTACAAAACAAAATCTGAGGATATGTGGAGGCGGCGGCGTCCACAAAATCGCGCCTGTCCCACGCGACCGAAAGTGGAAAAGGGGCGTCGTCGTGAATGTGTTACCGATGGCTCACTCGAACTTAGCGGATACCTCTGATGCTATTAAGCTGAGGATTACTCTAATGCCTTAACTTTACGGACCAATGTTAACTTGTGAAAACTTTATTCTCATCCGTAATCGATTGATCTGATCGAAACACGCCAACTAGCGATAATATGCATTATAGTGATGATCGTGGTCAACGAGAAAAAAGAAATGCAAACAAGAATTAAGTAATACAGTAATTATAAGGGGTAATAATGATTGGGCCCCGGAACAATCTCAATAAACTGAAAACAATCAGGATTTTATAAAACTGAAATTACTCTCTGAAAATTCATCAATATCGGTCGAGCTAATGATACATTGAGCGGAATCAATCATAAAGAACTGTACAGATACATACCGTTCCAATGCTCATAGAACCTATTTGTCTGTGGGATAAAAAAAAACGATAAAAATAAAGTAAACAAATAGGCGAAGGCAGTGAGAGAGAATGATGAACATTGCCTAGACATGGATATTTTTAACGGGAAGGCATGACGACAACGAAAAGGCAAGAACACCGCCACAGAGAGCACGTCACGCACACGTGTATGTGCGCGCAACGCGAAACCGTGATCTACACGCTAATCGATAATCAAGTGAATGCTTAAAATGACGCAATCGTTTCGCATTTGGCGAAAATGAATGCGTATACGAGAAATTGATGATGATCTGTTCTGAACAAATCCACTAAAAAGAAAAAACATGACACGATGATGATAAATGACAACACGTTAGGGTATAGGATCTCATGGAAATCAGCCGAGACGCAGCTGAGTCGCACAAGAGCTCGAAATAACAAGATGCAGCTCACAACCGCTGCTTCGAGCTATCAACTTCGTGAACTGCATCGAACTGATCTCATTTCAGATCATTGCAGTGCGTTTAACGTCCGTACGTCATGTAACCGTAGTAGCCATTGTTATACTGCCCACCGTAGCCATATGGATAGTTACCGTAGCCTGAAATATCGATCATAGAGAAATAAAAAACAAGGGGAGTAAACGGTAACTCACCAGCATAAGTGTTGTATCCGTACGGCACCATTGCTCCCTTATCATAGTAGTTGTTCATCATGTACGCACCGTGCTTAGCTGACAGCGCTTTCTCTTCTTCTTTCTGAAATGAGTGATGAAAAACTTTGACGACTCACATCTCATGAACACGTTTTCACGGAATATACGTATATTTTTCCCTAGGAACTGGATTGCACGAAACAGAACTGGCTCCATTCAATCGCGACTTTTGTTCGTTAACGCTATTCGCTTTCGAGCCCAACAAGCACCACATTGTGCACAAATGTGACGAGAACAACACAGCCGGGATTGGTTGGAATTATTAGTTTGACCCTACATGTTATGTCAGTGGTTATGGTTACAAGTATAACTCACACCGCTTCACAAGTTCACACGCGCAGGTTTCCCCAAAAATGCAAATCGCGAGCGCGTGTGCGCTGAAATTTGCATTTAGTGCGAGCCGACCAAACCCCTACTGCACAACTTTAATTTGGCTTCTCAAAGTACCAGTGTCTGCCCTTGTCTGCGCCTTCTCGCTTGAACAGCGGCTCATGATTGTTCTGGTCTCACAAGCTAGAACTTTTGCAGAATAACGAATGGCTCAGATTCCACAGCAGTCAAGGGCACCCGAGCTGTCTTTCCTCGGCTGTCGGGTTTAATCACGAACGTAGATTCTTCAAGAGTTGTCGTATTTTCATCGGCATGGGGAAATGACCGCATTTGGAATTTTCGAGGCCATAGATGATGTCAGACGAGGAGACGTGGAAAAATAAAATGTACTCGTATGAAATATAATAAAATTAACCGTTCCAGCAGTACCATGCAGTTTCAACTAACGGCAATTTGGGAGGAGTTTTGAGGCGGATTCGAGGCGTGTCACGAATCAGCCTCTACACAGGGCTTACGTGCTCAAGTGATTCCAAAAATTTTTACGATCCCCTCCCCTGTGTTGACTACGATTAGGACCCCCTTTAAACCATTTGACGATCGTGTGGCCCGCCGGTGGGCCAGACTTTCGCTCGGTGGCGACACTTTTTTAGTGGTTTATTTCGGCATCTTTTATGTTTCAAAACTACACAAATACATTACCGAATTTGCGGAATAATGCGCTAATTAGTAATAGTGAGATGGTTGGAGAGTTAATGATTATTGATGAAAAAAGTTAGAAAGAAGGGAAGTGACGCATTGTCGTCAAAGGGTTAAATAACCGCAAATACGACCCCCATCTTGATCGGCCGGACAGACGATTGACCTTTTCTACGACACTATTGACACCAACCATCATATGAGGTTGCATTGGTCATGGGAGTGTTCCGAAAGTGGTATTCAGGACTCCGTCGAAGAGGGAAGGGTCATATGTAATGCCGTGGCCATTTCTTCAGCGCAATGTTAACCCTATCCCTGGCTGCGACACGTGTCAAGTAAAACATGCTCAGTGCTAACAAAATAAGGGCGAAACGAACCACGAGAAATTTCTTTTTGACGCCTAGCATCATAATCTCATTTTTCTTTTCTTTACGCGAGTAAACAACATATACTCCCATTCAAGAAAAACGAGAAGAGCGTTGTGTGCAGACCATACACCACAAGTGACGACGGTCTCCACAAAATGCCAACATTTTCTGCCAATGAAATGATTAGCCTGTTGCATTCTTACAGTTGTCACTAATTACAACTATCATTTATCAAAAATCAGCTATCACTATGAACTGCTACTAACCAGATATACGTGGAGGCCGTCGTCATTTGTGGCGTATGGTCTGCACCTGACGCTCTTCTCGTTTTTTGAAAGGGAGGGTACCTTGTATGTTGAACAAATACAAGGTGTTTTCACAGGTTATACCCGTGAAGAAGTAGTTCGATCCTATCTTATTGATCATAAAGTACCCTGATTATGAGGCAAGATCCTGCACCAGTACCTGAGTAGGTAGTTCTGCCTCACTTTTCACCAATACTCCAAAAATTCTTATCTAAAAGAGTGGTTCAGGCCACTTCAAACGAGGAAATCCGTTGGAAAGGATAATTTCCTTCGGGACCGCACGGTGAAACAGAAGCAAGGTCTGGCACTTTCCTACTAGGCTTTTCCACAGGGGACTGAAATAAAAATTCTATTTGGCAATATCAGAACTCTCCGAAGATTGCGAGAAATCCAACCTGGACCAGGGTCTCAGGAGACCCAGAACGACTAAGGTAATGGGCCGATTTATAATAGGAAAAGCTCGCCAACTGAGCTCTAGCGCACTACGGTCACACCCTGGCGATCGTGAGGCGCATATAAGACGCAATCACATGGGCTATTCTCCATGTCTAGGCATCACGTGTAGGTAAACATAACATCGGTCACCATGTTTGCATTCGTAACGGTTGAATCGCGTTCGATCACAGCGCCACCACCACCCGTACCTATCCCACCTTCGCCAACCCTCCACCCAACCACTCTACAGGATCGCCGTTTTGGCGTTCGATTCTCCAAAGGCCACGTCAAACATGGAAGATCGGCACTCAATGTGAACGTAATACGCATTCTAAGCCCATATCAAACATCGGCATCTATTCAGATCGTGCGACTGTTCCACTGCCGAAATACAGCGTACACGCTTAATGTGCTAGGAGGTGTGACGAGAAGTGTTAGGCTTGTTTCTGGCCAATTGGAAATACTAGTCCATGTCTTTACAACGCCACCTTCGCCTACCGATTAACAAGTTTGGCCTTCTTGGATGCATTCGGATATGAAGATGAGGTTTTTATCCTCTTGGATTAATGCAGCAGCGCTACAGCTTGAAAAGCGCTCGATTTCCCTTTCACTTTATGAAGGTTTGTGGTGTTCCCTTGCAGAAGACGTTTGCGATCTCAAGAAGGATGTCTTGCTCGCTAGGATGCCTGAAGATGGCTCACAACGTCCTTCCCCTTGCGCAGAATACCGTCACATTTGAAGTCCGGACCCGGGTAATAAAAAGGTATTCGGCTTTGACGAATCCACTTCAGGATGCGCCACGGATTTTGCTTCAATTCAGAATCGTAATGGCACCTTGAATGCCATGTGGTTTGCACAATGAATAGCTGAGGTCGGTGCAGAATGAGCGTTTTCCTCCCAGACGCATCTTTAAGTAACCAAGTAGAAAGGGTGGAAAGGCTGCCTGAACCGGGCGAGATCCAACGCGGGATTTGCCTCCCCCCTCACCGCTCGCGAGACAAGTGGCGCTATGCCGCTCTACACCACGTACCCTTTCAAAAGACGAGAAGAGCGTCGGGCGCAGACCATACATCACAAGTGACGACGGTCTCCAGGTAAATCTGTTTGTAGTGGTTCATAGAGATAGCTGGTAGTTGGTAAATGAGAGTCGCCATTGGTGGCAACTGATAGAATACAATAGCAGCAGGCTAATCATTTTATTGGCAGAAAACGTTTACATTTTGTGAAGGCCGTGGTCAATTTCTGTGTTTGCTCTGCACCCGATGCTTTTCTCGTTTTTTTGAAAGGGAGTATACGTCCTAAGACAAAAAGGATTTTTGAAAATATTTGACATTACTCGGAATTTTCACTCCCTCCAAAATTTTAGCGTGGGTTTGAAGAAAAGGGTTCTGCAATTTATCATTAGCTGGATTGCTACCACCATTGTCCCTCTGATCCACATCAAGAAGTCGTTCACATGACTCTATGTTCGGAAATGCTAATCCAATTCGAACAGAGGAAATTTAGTGATGTTGCCTAGTAGTTGCTTCATCATAGACACCAAAGTCTAGGATAGCAAGTGTAGGGCACCCTGACGGTGGTAGAAACGAGGGCAATAGCTAGTAGGTGCAGGGCGTTTTGCTCGCTTTATAGAATGCGCTCCAACAACAGCCACTGCATTTTCGATACCGAGCGCAAGCCTCATGTATGGCGCATCCTGAGCAAGCTCACAATAGTTGTGCATTTCTCTTATAACTGATCAAAATGTTGATGGTGCAGCTCAGGAAAATTATGTCGCACCGTCGCACGGTGTGAATCAGAGCCTCTTAAGCCGTATTCAGGTAGAGCGCTGGCGACAAGCTTCGAGGAATCACGTCGCGATAAGAATCATTATGGGCCCGCAGACAATAAACCAGACATTCCGTCAGTCCGTCAGCCGTGCAGCATTACGACGTGAAAAAAATGCATGCAGTCGCAACGGGAACCGTTGGCGCCACAGCTAACAGCAGACGCTCCAGGCGGTTCGGTACGACCACCGTACACTCCCATCAATAACCAGTTGCCCGGCATGACTCGTGGATCACGTCAGCAGCGGCGCCTCTGTAGATAAGTACAGATGACGTCTCTGACAACATGCTGTGACGTTGCTGAATGTGTGGTGATGTCGACGAATCGACGGTGTAGGCCGTAATCGCATCATTCTCGCTGTCGCGACCAGCGACGAGAACAGAGCGCGAGAGATAGCCGCGACTTTCGACCCTGACTAAGGCAGTCGAGTCGGGGTCAAGGAAGCCTGAGCGACACGATAGCATCGCATCACAATTGCGGGGGTCACACAGCGCATTCCGGAGCGTAGGACGGCGTTCGTGCGTTACGACATCATATCCGCCAATGTCGGATATCCCCAAGAATCTCTGGCCGTATTTGGCCCACACCCAGTATCACCTCGCCCGTGTGTTTCACATACCAAGGCCATATTGGTCCAGACACCAGCCGTCGTTTTGTCGCGTGTAGAAAAGATCTGAGGTAATTTTGGGGTACGATGGAAAAGTAGACCGCACTTGAAAAGGAACTAGTTCTATTCTATGATCAACTTAGAATTTGATTTCAAGAACAGAGAACAACAGTAAAATGGATGAAATAACCTGGTAATACCTGTAGTAAACAATCAAGTAACTGCAACAGCGCTCACCTTTAATCGACTGGCCGAACAGATGAAAAACACGGACGCAAACAGAATGAAGAGTATGCCAACCCAGGCCACAACCAGCGACCAACCAAAATTGAAACGAGTCGTGGACTTGAGGATCTGAAATGACCTTGTGGATATTAACTCTCCGAAAAGAACTATTCTAGAGTGAAGTGGTGGCTAATTTCGATGGTTTTATTTCTTCTACGAGAACATCACAGTGAAGCAGCGCCACGCTGTCCGAAGGACATCGCTAACATAAAGGGACTTGATGTTTCAAATTCCAGCCGTTCTTCACTAAGGCAACCTTTCATGGAGAATCATTGTCCTCGAAAACCTGACCTTGAGTACGTTCGTCGACGACCTCAATTAGCCGTCACCTTTCTAAGATACCGTTTGACGTTCCGCCATTTATACTTTACCAAATTACAGGTTACGAGTAAGTGGTCCTCGAGATGACCAGGGACGACAGTGTGCGACGTATAGCTACTGGTAGTGGCGCTGCAATTTTTCACCCCTTCCAATTTATGGATCTGGAAAGCTATCATAACTATTTGTCACTCTTAAATTGGCAGCTTGGCTTGAACCTCGGCAGTAAGAACGCGCTCGCTCTCCTCCTCACTCTAGAATTACTTCACTACATATGCACCTTTCAAGGGTCATGACGAACGTAGCGCTATGAACCATGGCCAGGGGTGGGCTAAAAATCCTTGCAATTCAAATGGACAAAAAAGTGCGATATTTTGAAGAAAAAAATCTTGCCTAGGATGGGCATGAAAACATCACATAATCATATGCAAAATAATAAAATAAAGGCTGTTTTGTCAAAAAAGGCAGTGCGTATCACAGAGGATCTTCAGCTATCGAACGGTAGAAGCATGACCACGCAAAAGCTTAGATGTCCCAGAAATCTGAATAACTCGAAATTCATCCCATCGGATTAGCTCAAAATAGCGCCGGACTTAGACAAACTGAGGACGAGGAGGCTTTGTTCCATCAACGGCCCATTCAAGCGCGATACCTCAGAAAATGCGGATCGAAATCCTCTAGTTCGCTAGTTCTCCACAGCGCTGCTCAAAGTAACGCTCTTCAGAACAAGTTTCGTTTTATTTAGAAGTGTAGCAGTGAAGCCCACAAAACAACAACCATTGCGCAAACCATGAAGCGCTCAACCGAAACACAGGAACTTTCAGTAAGGATTTAAGTGATTTCGAGTGATTTCCGGGGTTTTTGCTGGGAGTTCAGTCTAGTCACGTTGTGTACGCATCACTTGATCGTCAGCCTCTCGTGGCTCAACATTCGTTGATCGTCGCCTCACTGTGCTGCCTCCTCTCGTTGAGGAGCACCAGACCGGTTCCCTTTCCTTCATCGTCGTCGCGTATCCATCACGCAAATGCGACCATCGCCTTTCCCCCGTAAGTCCACCTCCCTCCTTTAGCTCCTCTTGTATCCATCCATTTATCGCCTCCAAGCCCTCGATTTTCCCTCACATGTCAGCCCGTATAAGAAATAAACCCTTATCTAGATGATGGTGCAGTTGGAAAAGCGCCAAAACAATAGATGTCTGTCGAAGATATGCTCTGATCTCCCCCGTAATCCGCAACGAGGTGCTCCCGTCTCGGCCCCTGCCCAGACCAACATGAAACATCGAATGATTCAGTTTAGTGACACATTCGAAAAATTCCTCTCTTACCGGTTCCCACGACTTGTAGAATGGTGACATTTCCAGTACAGCTCGCTCTAGATAGTTCACATAGTGCCAACACGCCATTGAAACAGCAAACAACAGAACTGAAATAGGAAATTCAAGGCAAAAAAGAGAGTATAGAACAAAATGGAGAATAAATTGGCTCGCTCTGGGGGTATTATCGTGAGGGACCTCGCGGTAGCCGGCTATACTCGGGCAAGGTAGAGCACAAGAGAAAGAGAGTCGCTTTCTGCGTCTCATGCCCTTTGAAGACTCATGGCTCAGGCTGGCTTTCGCTTCCATTTTTTGAATGCGCACAGAGTAACTCTCTAGAGGATGCTCACAGAAAGATTCGTCAAACTGATGAACTTCTAACAGACTTTCAGAGTAGCCAATCTTTCTGACGTATCCAGGTTTTCAATCAAAAATCTTCTTTCTAGAAGACCTTGAAAGTTACATCATCCTTCAGGGAGTTAGCCACACAAATAGAGACCGCAAATTTCACACAGGGTGCATAAAACGTGAAGCAGGGAGGAATTGGGACAGGCTATGTGACTCGAAGGCATTTGAGGGAAATACATGCAGGGAGGAAATGGAGAGGGTAGCTGAATGCGCCCCTAGCTCACCAAAGTGAGTCCAAGCCACCAGAATCAGCTATTACTTCCCCAGCCCTCTGCCTTCTCTTACCCAGAAAAAAGTTCCATTTGTCAGTGAAGAGAGCCGTCTTTTAGAGGAAATTAGCGGTTCGTAATTTCCCATAAATCACTTCCGGTTTCAACACAAACGCAATAAAAACTTTGCGTAATTACACACAATAAGTGAACTACAGTAATCTACCTGTGAGAAGAAGACCGACACCGGCGAACATGAATGCCTTACGAGATTGTCGAGCGCATCCAATACCAGCTATGGCAAGACAGACAACGACGACACCAAGACCTGCAATATTTCCTCATAAACTTCGTCATTTCGATTCATCATGGAAAGCCACGCTTTCAACTTTCGCCCTATGAAAGCAATATCGAAACAGCAAGGAGATTGAATGTGACAGGTCGCCGAAGACGCCAGCTAAAGCGGACCTATGCTTATTGATTGGTTAGTTCGAAGTCAAAATATGCTTTTCCGAGACAGGCGTACCTTGAGCTTTTGAAATGATATTTTGCCCGCCTAATTCGCCACGAAAAAAAAGGGAAAAAGCCTCTTCCCAATCCCCAATACGTAATTTCTAGCTCAAACATGCTACTCAAAGTGTTATTCTACCTACTCTATCTGATCTCCCATGGTTTCTTAGTATAGTCTTCATGTACCCTTGCTTCATACCTTTACGCCCATAGGGCACAGGAGTTCTCAGATACAATCAACAATAATCAACTCAACGACCAACTCATGTATCTTCTTGGATACCTGACAGGGAGCCCATAGCGCGACAAGAAGGCAGAATCAGCGGACGAGTCGCAGCGCGTACTGCACTGATTTCGCGTCTAGTTAAATAGAATGTAGCATTGTACGTCCTACAGTGCACATCACACGCGGCGACTGGTCCGCTGACTGTCCCTTCTTGCCGCGCGACGGGCCTTCTGTCGGGTACCCAATCTTCTCGGACATTGAAGATGGGTAGCCCAGAAGGGCGCCCTGGCCCTGCTCGGGGATATGTATCTCAGAAACTGGCACTTTATTTAGTCTCTTGGATCATTTGGAGCTCCTGTTACTACTAGACTGAGCAAATGCATAGTCGCTATGTGGTTATAGTCTTCCCAGCCAATGACTCCATTGGGTGGCTACGTTGGTCAAATTTGTATAACTGGCTATGGTTTTCACCAGTTATTTTTTGAGAAACATTTTTCAGAAACATTGGTACCACATTGTAAATATCACTTAAAAGTGCTTTTCATGAAAAATGGAACGAAATATGTCGAAATCAAAATTTAGTTTCGATTCTTCCGAAAGCCATGAAACATGCCGGTAAACGAGAAATTCGCGATCAAATTAGGTGATGACCGCCGGTTTGGCTACCGCGAAAATATATGGGTCTCAGTTTCAATTCCAAAGGGTTTTTTTTCCAAATCTTCGGACAACGGACTTATAAGGCGATTTCAAGTGCAAGGATTCAGCGCTACAGAACACCTGTAATTATGGCACCCTCAAGAGACAAAGAACAAAACCGGACAAACAGAAGCATGACCGCAGCGGAAAGAAAACACCATTCAAAGCGCGACATGACTCATTACATTCTCTAACATCATGACTTTACACTATCATTTACTGGAAACTATTTACTTACCCAGAACATAAGTGGCAACGTTTGCTCTCATGAAATAGAGGCGTTGAGTTTGTTGTGAGGAATAATTCTCCTGTACAGCTTCAACAGGAAAATAATCGGTGTTGTCGATACATGGAGAGCCATATTTGGAGAAGCTGCCAATATCTGAATGAGGTTGTTAAGAGCAGGTGGTCGATCGGTCACTACAACGCAGTGCAGTCCACCTAGGGTGGTCCCTATCTCACGCACTCACCCCCGTTCAATGTTGCGGCGAAAATGCAAATAGAACGAACTACACCAAAGAATCGTTGTGTAAATTCAGAAAAACGTGTAACAAATTGTGTAAGAACGGGCGAAGATCGTTAACTAACCGGATGGTACGGAATCCGGAAAACAGATCTGGAATAGTCCGTAGTTTCGCGAGAAATAGTTAACGTTACGAACGAATGCGTCTTTCAGACGAACGTTTAATTCCGGTTCTCGATTGAAGGCGTTGATTACTTCTCGACGATTCACCTAGAATACATCAAAATAACAATGGTGAGGGTCTATACCAAGACGTGGGGCATGTAGTGCAGAAGTCCGCGCTGTTTACGGTAATTCTATGTCTTTCAAGGGGACGAAGTTCAGAGGTATGTATAAAAACGGAACTGAAACAATTCACGCATCCCGGAGAATTGCTCTTCTTGCAAAAATTAGAATGACAACTGGCAAAATTGTATTACAGTTGGGGGGGGGGGGCAGGAACTCTCGGATCACACCCTTCACTCTCATTGAAATAGGCCTATTGTGAAATAGAGTTTAAATTGTTGCGTAAATTTTATCCTTTATTTTTGGAGAGCGCAGATTTGCTACCGAAAAGCGCCAGGGCAGGCCAGCAGGCCCAGTTGTGCATGACAGCGTGACACAGCTGTATGTACGACAGTGTGCAGCTGTACTAGCAGAAGAAAAGGCTTGGTCAGATCGGCTAGTTCAGACAGTTGACCGTGAAATCATTAAGAGGTGGTCACGCTTAAGAGGGCTTCATCACCCCCACCCCCATAATGGAAAAAACGGCGTCTGATCCCGCCGCACCTTATTTTTGTCCAGCTGGTCCTAAAGGTGGCAATAACCGACGAAAAACTGAACAAAAGCACTTGGCTACCGTATTCGTGGCCCAGGGGCAAGCATAATAGCTGGCATGGGGTACATCGCTGCAGGTCCATAACCTGTCGACGTTGTCATCATGTGCACCTGTTGTTCTCACACAACATCTTTGCCCCCCTTAATGGAGAAAACGGCGTCCGATCCCGCCGCGCCTTATTTGATCGATCGAGGTCGTCGTCGTCGATGTGGAATCGATCGATACAGAAGAGAGTAATGTCAAGGTGTGCGAAGAGGCGACTACCGTCCGCGGGACGTGACTCTTCAAGCACAACGAAGACAAAACAATGCCCGACTGACCTGTCAAGTACAAACTGATCACCGGCTGCTGCCGTTCCCCCGGCTGCCGCCGGAGTTACGTGAAGATGGCGCGCGGCCGGTCAGGATAGCCTTGGACCGGAAGCTGACCATTGGCCGGAACCGGGCATGATCAACAACCTGCACACACACACCATTATCTTCCATTTGCGATCGTACAAAAAGCCCTCCAGTTGGGGGTAGTTGACGACATGTTTCGTCTTCAGTGAATTACCGTGCATGTCGAAACATGGTGGACGTCTATAGCCTACTTTCCTCTCACCCGTTCCTCTCTGTCTCACTCCGGTTGTTCGCCGTCCTTTTCGCAGGTTCTCAGCAACATCACCTGACACCATAACCGTACAGCGGCATGGATAATTATACGGTTAGCGTGGGATAAGACGAAATATGGACGGGCGGCCCCTATTTGTGAGCAAAAACGGCCGCAACCAGTAGAAATGTACGACTGAAGCCATCCATTCTGAGTGAGTAAAAGAAAATCGGCTACCAGCTGGGGTTTGAAAAAAAAGTGGGAAAAAAGCGTACGGTCATTGCTATGGATGGGTTCACTTGAGGAAACAGAACGTTTTAAACGAACAGTTTATCCCAGAAAACTGTGGAAGAGCTCCATAGAGCGCAATAAACAGCGAACAAGGCGTGATAAGGAAAAAAGAGAAAAAAAGATGATTAAGAACGAAAAAAGGAACGATTCAAGGACGAACACGATTCGGCACGATTACTCACCTGATATTCAGTCCAGTTATCAGTAAGGGCAGCAGCTAATACAAGTGCCAAGCCGATAATACCAAAAACGCTGGATAGTGAGAGGAGAATTGTCGACGACCACATGCTTGAGGGCGCGGCGCGCAGCACTGGCCGAGCAGACTGGCCACGCCCACGCGGGGCAGGGTGGGTGCGCGACGGTGGGAACGGAGAGATACAGTGGTGGAGGAGGTCGAATACAGTGAGGCCAACTCAATCACGGCCAAGATATATGACTCAAAGTGATCATCATCATCAAGAGATCTTGCCTATGAGATCTACACTATATAGTAGTTATTCCACAGTACAACCCGCCGACCGCATGCAGAGGGGGCAATTGGACGGACGATTCCGCAGTTCTCAAAGTATGAGGTGTAAAGCTGTCGAATATGAAGGGAGGAGAGCTCATTTATCCCTACCACATGTTCAGATGCTGTCATGCGTCTTGATTTAACATGCATTGGAGATTTTCCAGCTGACCTGGTAAGTCCTGAAAAGACATGTCCGTCTCACTCGCTCGGCGTTTCGTCGATACGTTCTTATTCGTGGCCGTTTTCCGACATTTTACATTCTGCTGTAGACGGATAAGAGACATAGGGGCATTAGAGGTCCTGGACTGTGCAATTCTCGGGCCATTCCTCGACTTGATGAGTTTCGACCGTTTTTCGCCGTTACAAGCTCTCGCCTCATTGGCCGCCACCTCATTTTCTCGTTATGTAGAGCACCTAAATGGAGCTACTATGAATGATGTGGCGGCGTTTACAACTGAATGGTATCGTCTGGAGAAAAAGACCAAATGAGGTGGAACAATCTCCCGTCTCAAGCGGTAATACTAGCAGAAACTTGTAGGTGTAAGCTCCCCCTCCCACCCACCTCCACCTTCACCTACCTCCTTATCTCTTATCCCTTATCTCCACATCCCCAAAAATTCCGTCGGCAACCGGCGGAGGGATGTTGGAGATTAGGGCAGCGCGAATAACAGTCAAGGATTCTTTGACATGTAGTCGCATTTGGTCCTGGGGGAAAGAGGAGATCGAACTTGGGTAGATTCGATTTTCAGGGTTACGTCATATTTACAGTTTCGGTAGCCTCATGGTCTCCACCACCGCCCTTCCCCCCCCCCTCCCCTCCTCCCTCAACAGCGATTTCATAGGAATTCTGAGGTGGGACTGGGTGAGTTTAGAAATGTGTGGTTGTAACAGCATCCTTGCTATGACTGGAAGGGGGTCATATCATGACCTTAGCTAGATAGGGGGTCGTAATAAGCGTTATAACGCCATGTCTGCCCTAGTAGGTGTATATTATACAATATACCAAGAGAAGCAGTAACAATTTTAAAGTTCCTCAAAACAAATTCCAAAATAATCCTTACCACTCCTCCCTTCACAGCTCGACAAGCTCCACTTCAACCTCTGGCCTTTCAGTAGGATCCCGTTCTGTAAGGCGGATCAGTACCCCATGTCTGAGCTTTCTCAAAGGACGACTCTGAATCAAGAAGGGACCTGATTGAATCGGCCCATCCCAGAAGATGATCAAAAGACCCTCCTTTTTTCAGTCTTCCCTAAAACTATTTTGCCACAGCTTTGAGCACGTCCACATCGTTCAAGGTCAAAAGGTAGTAAAAAATATTGCCAGAAATGGAACTGCGTTCCACTAGAAATTGAAACATTCGAGTAACTCAACAACACATCCTAACTCGACATTACTCTACTAAATGGTTATCTAAGCCTTAAAGTAAAGGGCACCAATGTCCACTCTTCAATTTGGAGGCATCCTTTGGTACGGTAATTCCAAATGAGGTCGATAAATTAATGGCGAGAAAGGAGTGTGTAGCAAAAAAAATCCGACTCTGCTCTTTACTGGTATGACTCATCGCCATAACAACAACTCGGTAGTGTCACAAACCAGCCTTCGTCGTCAAAATGATAGCATTTCTTTGCAGGAGAGGGTAAAGTGTTCTGTAGAGTGAAAAGTAATCATGTTAACCTAACAACTTGGCTTTCGGAACTGACGGAGTAAAGAGTTAAGTAAATAGCTTGGTACAGTAGCGCGACAAACAGTAAATGTTTTATTCAGAGATGTTTACGTCACCACCATTACTGCAATTTGCCGAGTAGTTTACCTGTATTCAATCACTTCAAACTTTTTTTATTCTGTAGTTGTCACTGATCGCTATGAATGCGACCTTGTGATGATTCAAGGAGAGCTGGTTGAATCGAATTGAAACGCGTCTTTCAGGGCGCAGGTGACTTTATTACTTACTAGTACGTGCTGACCTCATAACAGCGAAATCCACTTATTTCATTAAGCAATTCGAGGAGATGCTCTTAATGGCTCGGCGATAGATATCTGATTTACTATTTCCGGTTTTCCATGTTTTTGAGCACTTTCTAGCCGCATACGCTCTATTTTTGCTAGCATCGCACTCTGCGAGGAAGTGGGAATATAATCTGGAGTGAACTCAAAGGGTTCTACCTAAAGAAGGTTCCCTTATCACGAGCCAAAGTCCCACTCTTCAGCTCATATTCTTTGAACAGAATTCAACACTCCTCCTTGGGTGAGCTCTTCTGATCCGTGAGGAGGAGTTGTGCTCTTTTCTTAGATGAAAGGGTTGTGGGGAAAGAGGCTAGAGGCTCAAGGCGTATCAAACCAGCACATGGAGGTGAATTAGAATGGCTGCAATTGGCGACTGCATTGGTGTCTGCGCATCACTCGTTTCCTTTTTCTCGCGTCTGTTCGTCGTCTGCGTCCTCCTCCAGACATACAGCGTGGATTCACAGTAAGGTACACGGATACTCAGGAACGACTGCAGGAGGTAGGGCATTGTTCAGGGAACTTCCAGTACCGAAAAATTAAGTAGTTACAGTTGTAGTTCATAGTAATCCTAACCTCTCCTTCCCATGTGCGGCTATCGTGGAATGTGCGTTCAAGTGAGAAAGAAGCTCAATATATAGCCCTCCTGGAAAGCTTACCTGTATCAGAATTATGCTTATTTCATAGATTACATAACAGTTGTTCACTTACCGGCCTCAATATTGCTCTATTCTTCGAGCGAACCCTTACGAACTTACTTCATTGCTTGCTGCTGCTACTCCTTTATCAGGTAGTCACAGTTAACCCTACGGCGAAGGCAACTTGTTCATTAGTAGAAGGGTAAATTTGTAGTGGAGTTCATAAATCAATTTTTGTTGTGGACGAAAGAAGGATTCCATAAGCAGATTCACTGGCAGTACATTCATTTTCCACTTTACTCACTTAAGTAAAGTATAACGGCATCATCCATGACCAGTGATAAAGCACCTATCTTTAAGAACCCGTAGCGTTCCTATGGACTTCTTATGCCACCTCCTGCACGTTTCAGTCACAAATCTACATTCAGGTTACCGGTTTACTGTACTATTTATGAAGATACTCGTTGTTGCAGTATTCTTATTTTATCTATTATTGGGTAATGGATGGGGTAGGTTTTAGTCTTCCTTTCACAGCGCCGACAGCGCCGCTCACCTACCGGTCGAATAAATGTTCGAATTTCAATCACTGGAATGTCCTTATAAACATGAATTGCAATCTATCTCTCCTGATCGATTTACTTACTTTTTAAACCACTTCAAAGTTGCATTGAAGGAGACGCGTTTATAAGTTGAGATATCATCTGTAGAGTAGCTACACAGTTTTTTCCTTGTCCAGCTGCAGTATGATGAAGCTCAATCGATTGCCAAGTATAAAAACACTTGGAAGAAACACGCTAGTATTCTCTGGAAACGCGTGTCCGGACTGTGGCTGTTCATACGCGTGACCACGGACCGGTTTCCTTCAGAGTGTTTTTTAGGTTCGCCTTTATTGCCGTTCATTTGCTCCAAGTTCCCCTAACAAGGTCATTTACTGCTAAACAAGCAAAGAACGTTCTTTCACGTTCTTTTCTCCATCAGTATCATTTAATAGATAGAAAAACTTCCATTAAATTCCATTGTTCGTTGCAATTATGCCCGACGCACGCCTGGTTGTCAACTCTTATCAATCGAACGGATGACCTTTTCATTCCTTAACTTTCACTACAATTACTTTGAACCCATTGATGTAAAAGCGCCATAAATAAACATAATAGAAGGCGGCAGGCTAATCGTTCGAACACCGCCGCCGCCGCTGCCGCTGTCGTCGGTAACAAAAACTCAATGCCACCCACTGCACCTGACAAAATCGACCACCAGCGAGAAAAAAACACGACCACCTGATAGAGAAATCTCCAACTATGAAAAGATAACGGTTGGATGGGTTCTGCAATCCTTCTCTTGCACTTTATAGGATCAACACTCGCATAGCGTGCCCTCGAAAACCTTCACCGTAAAAGTCAAGGTCAGATAGGTGATCGAGATTAAGCGATCAGCACACGGATACCGACAAGACACGGGTGGTGCAATTGCAACGTTTCTACTCGCACCAGGAAGAAACACTAAAGCTTTAAGTTTCGCATTCCGATTTCCGGGATATTCACTGGTCGTGACGGGCGACCATTAGGGTGCAACTTCTGTTAGCTTAAAGGCACGAGTCGGGTTTGAATTGATGCGCTATTTTGTCAGAAAATTGGTCAAGGATTGCAATGAGGAACATCAGTGAGGAGAAGAAGCAAAAAGCGCCAAAGAAAACACTAAATTCCCCTTATGAGGCCGTCCGTAGTATGACTGAGAGGCACAGTGCTGCGAGGAGAGTGAGAACGCGAGATAGTACGTCGTACGTGAGAGGACGCAGAGGTCACGTATGCCGTGGTTGGTAAGACCGGCAGCATGGCAGCACACAAGGCAAGGCCTTAGCGCCGGTGTCTCGCAATTTTAAGTCGCGACATTGTCGTGCCTCCTGCCCTTGGAGGCCCCTCTCCCCTACCCTAGGGGGGACTGGCTCTTGGGACCTAGTCCCGAGTCGTGGCTTTAAACGAGCAAATTGAGTCATGATGAAAGACTGATTTCTTCTTATTACTGTTTCAATCCAAATCCACGTGAATCCATTGTTCTCTGCTTCGCGTATCCATTTCTAGGGCTACAATTTTTCACTGCAAGAATGAAACAAATAAACAAGTAAATAGATATGCACAAGGAGTTGGAACAAGTGACTTGTTCTTTATTGCAACGAGGTGAGCTTCACGATAGGGTAAAATTTTGAGATTGGGTAACTAACTAGCCGGGAAGGCCCTCCCTTCCCACTAAGCTTCAAAAGTACCTCAAGCAGATGGATGTAAATTTAACTCTTGAATAACAAATTTTAAACATTCTACATCGTTTCGCAGGAATATTGGGTTGTGGGTTGTGCACAAAACTTTCGCTTCAGACGGGAATCAAACCCGTACCTATTGCTTACCGGGCAAGTGCGCTACAAGTTACGCTACCGCGGCACCATTTCACCCCAACTCAACTTTTCATTGTGAACTTACTTTAGCTTGTCAGCACTCACACGCTTAAAGTATTGGGCCGATTAGCCGACATCGGCAATGCCTGTGAGGCTGAAACCTTCGCAATGAATTTTTACTTGTTTTGTTTGCTAACAAAACAAGTCAAAATTCCACTGTTTTTCCAGTCATTCCACGCACTTCTTCAGACCCATCAAGAATTTTCCGTGCAGACGGGTCGAAGACAGCGGCGGTTTCAGCTTCATTGCCAACAAGAATATCGGCGAGTAGATGGAATATGAGGAACAAGGGAAAGGGAGGGAGGTGGGGACGGTGACCTTACTGACGTGAGGCAAAAGCTAACGCATATTGACACTTCCTATAAAACAGAGTTCAAGTTGCCTGTAGATCTCCTCCGCCTCTCTCAACCCCTTGGTATGACTCCCTTCCAGATACGACCCCCCACCACTTGTTGAACTTGGCACAGACGGTCAGACTGTTTTCGAATCCTTTAAAGGCAGAGTACGATGAAAAGGCAGCCTATTAGAAATCAAGGTACAGGTGGCCAGTGGTGCAGGAACCAAGAAAAATCATGAAAATGCCCTCGAACCCGAGAATGGGGAATTCCTCACCCGTTGATTTCCGCATTGATGCTGCCGTCGACGCTGACGACTTCTCTGATTAACAGCTAGAGTCAGACGCCGAGAGGGTGGGCGTGCAGTGGCGCGAGCTGCGCGGTTATGAGCCTGGTGGTCCGCTGCATGCACATTCTTAGGTGCGAAACATGCATCTTCTCTTAGCATTAATGGGTTCGATTGTCTTCAGACTTGGTGTGTTCCCCTTTTTCGACCCATGACCCTTATCGTGGGACCCTTTTTTGATTCATATAAATATCCGCTTATAAAAATACATAGAATACTCGAACAATTCATCAGAATAACCACAAAAGAACAACTCTCAGCACACATGAGAATGGAAAGAAAGCTATGAAAAAAGTAACACTAACCAGTCAGATGGCAGCTTTGATTCACAAAAACCTTAGCGAGCACAAACTTGAAGAGATGTAGTTCAGTATGCAAAAAGCAAAGACAAAACTATTTTTTATACTTCGTCACACAAAGAACTCGATAGCACAACTTTACACTGAGCCTACAAGTATGACAGAGGTTTTTCTGATAGATTTACCCAGGCACATCAACCTGCTTCTAAACAATATATTTCATACAGCACACAGAAATTGAACTGATCAGTGGGAAATGCGTGATAAATGACTGAAACAACGATTATCGACTTGTAATGATAGTCTGATAAATTAGACAATTATAGAAAGTACACTAAGTGTACACGACCTATATGTCCTATAATACCCTGCACGATTATACACGAAGCTGAAGATCTCATTTCTATGAAGAATGAATAGCAAATTTTCCTAAATAACTGCATGGCGGCTGAAGATCGCTCAACCACCCTCGTTCTGTCGATCACCGCAGAAGAAATCGTGAAGATTCCGGCACACTCCTTTGCTAAATTGGATTTTTTCTGATAAAAATCTTAAAAATACCCATAGAAATAGCAAGTATTAGCAAACGAATTTCATCCTCGTAGAAAGGTGGGCGCATCAGAAAGACTGAAATGGCAATGGCAATTAGTTTGGTACTGCTGGTAGTACTGAAGGATAAATCCACTCATTTCACGATAGTGAGCACCAATAATGTAAGTAGTTGAAGGCCGTGGCATAATAAATTAACTGTCGGTCGAAAAAGTGGAAATGCGAAGATCTACGACAGCTAAAAAAACCAGACGAAAAGCAGAAAACTCATTACAAATCCTCATGGCCGTCATGTTTCGAGGCTAACGAATTTCCACAACAGCTGGCAGCATCACCGGGAATGCTGCATTCCACCTCCTTTTCACAAAGGCTATATTGCAGAAAGATAAACACTAACGGTTGAGTCGACTAATTGGAGGCGGAATCAGGAGCGGAATAGCAGTTACGCAAAGCCCTTTAGGGCTACTTCGAGTGTACTTTCGCAAAATCCTCATGCACTGGATAGACAGAGGATTACCGTCTACCAGGCATATTCGTCACGTATAAGGAGCCAAATAGACGTACCTTTTTATCCACAACAAACATGCGCGCGCTGGCGACTTGCCACATTGCTTATCCAATCAAGGGCATAGTTTACGATAAAAAGAAACTTCATTGAAAACCAAGGTAGAGGTGGGCAGCGATGCAGGGACGAAGAAAAACCAATAGAAACCAGCCAGAAACTCCCTTAAGTACGACGGGCGATTTTCATCGGTGCTAACCACACCAACGCTAACGCTCTCTGTGCAAGAGCGGCTAGAGTCAGACGGTGAGAGGCAGTCGATGAGATGGGAGTGCAGCGGCGCGAGCGGCGCCGGTACGGCCCAGTGGGCTGCCGAGGCGTACCCTTCGCTTAAAACGCGCTGTCTCGCATTCATAATGGGTCTGCCTGCCTCTCCACTAAGGATCTTTCCCCTTTTTCTACCTTCGACCTTATGTGAAATCACCCTTTGAGACCATAAAGTCAACTACAAAATTGAAACTAAATTCAGCTCCCAGTCATAAAGGAGTGAAGTGATGGAAACTCACAATGCACTGCACAATGAACATCATTCAGACCCGTAGCTTTATAAATAGTCTATCAGCAATGATGTAGAGCATATCGCGTGTAAATGCCACTTTTAACATATTTACTTTATTTAGTGATCAATCAATAGTCCAATTCGACAGCGCCTGTGAGTATTTACCAAGCTCGCTTTCAGCTTCGCTTTCCGCTTTGTGCAAGAAGACGACTGCAGGTAGAAGGAATTCACAGCGGCGTTTGCCTATATAATGCGCCATGAACCATACAGTCCAGCGCTTATCAGATCGACGGCTCATCAGATCGGCTCGTCAGAATCGCCTGCAGCTCGACGTCTAGTTCGGCTAGGCCACTTGCTTAACTTCTAATGAATCTGAATTGCGCCTGTTCTGGTGGTATTCATACTTACCCGCGTAGCAGCGACAACAGCGAATGCAAGAACCCTTTAAAACCTGCTAAAATTTGTAGGATAGCCAAACGACGTGCGCGTAATGCTATTTCAAGTGCTTTTAACTTTTTCTGCACTTTTCACTACGTCTGAACCACTTCCCACCACTAAGCCTATTTTGAGCGCAATAACCCACACCTAATCGATCGTGAAATGTTCCTCTGAGCCCAAAAGCAAGTATTTAACCGTCTCTGTACTGACTGTAGTTACATAAGTGAGCCCAAAGCGAATGTGGGCATCTTTGCACAGCACTCCCCTGATCACATGACTTATACGTATCAAACATTTCTTGGTATGTCATTTCGATAATAGGGACACACTTTGTTATACGGCACTAGAGTCTGCCCTACAAGAGGATCAGTTCCTCAGACTAGTCAGTCAGCCAGCAAGGTAGGCGCGGATTCCGGTGCGAGTTGTTGTATTTGGCTCGACACGCCTTCAAAAAAGCCTGCTTTTCCAGATGAGAAACCCCTGCATAGCCCATTGCAAAGGAATGGGCCGATATGATTTCAATCCCCAATAACCTCTCTACAAATGGTGAATGATCAATCGGAACAGCAGCTCTCCAAAGGAGCACCCGCCATTGCCGGACTTTCAACAGAACCGGGTGTCCCCTAAAAGGCCCGTCGCGCGACGAAGGAAGAGACGCAGATACGGCAAAGGACGAGTTGCAGCGCGTGTTTCGCCGCATCTGCGATATGAGACGTAGTACGGTACACTCTATTCGACCTGACGCCTTACAGTATGCGCTGCGACTCGCCCTTTGCCGCGTCTGCGTCTCTTCCTTCGGTGCGCGACGGGCCTCTTGGGGGACACCCAACAGAACCCACTATTCGAACAAATGCGTGCGCATTTCTTCAACAATAACGATCATCGGTGAGTAATGCAGTCGTAAAACAACCTCCGAAACAGATAATTGCCGCAGAAGTACTTATGACGATGAGATTAAGGATGGTGAAAGCAAGAGGAGTCGTAAAACGCTTCAGTGCATACTCCGTGGTCTCTAACGCAAGCCAACACTTCATAATCTGTCACTCAGAAAAGTATCGGTCAATTCTTGTTGGGATACGCCAAGCATTTCACATTGATTCAGGATCGCAACGACATCCCAATGGGATTTGGCACACAGTGACTTACGGATGCCAGCAAATGTCTGGAACAGTACACTTTTTTTGCTGTGATATCAGCACTAGATGAAATCCTTGTGAGCTTGAGGAAGAATTTATCCCTGCATCTCCAACGAGTCAGCCCTCGAAATGATCAGAAAACATTGACCAGCTCGCACGAAACCTGTGAGATGATTAACTGCTCCCACGTGCCAATTCTATCGATACTCGCTGGCAATATTTCCTAATGAAAGGGCTAGTTCATTGCTTTGAAGTGTCTCAGGCTAGTTTTCTACCTCTCACGCTCAGTCGCATTACCAGCGCCGACTTATACCTGAAGATGAGCACTTGTACAATGTGGACACCATACAAATAGGTGCGGTGTGAAAGCGAACACCAAAGGAGGAAAGGATGAGAAGAAAAAAGAGGAATACTCATGTTTTGCCTTTCTAATGCCGCACAGTTAATTGTAGCTTTTACTTTTTTATGTCCCAATAAGTTAACAGATAGCGTGGTTATCGAAGGATAAAGGATGAGGCGTTCATTGTTGAACCACTTTCAGAATACGCCATGCATTTGACTACAATTACAAATCGTAGCGCCCTTTGGCTGCACGTTTAGTTCAAACCATGGATTCCGGGGTCAATCATTGAACAAGTCAGTATTCTTGCCCTCCCAAACTAGTCTGCACCAACCAACAAACCTTGGCGGAATACACTTTCTTTGACTTGTGCGAAATTCGACCCACGGACAATGCAGAGGCTAGCAGCACTACTTCTCAGTGCTCCACCATGGTAGAAGAACCTTATTCAATATGACCAGTTGTCGCATTCTGAGGCTTATTGTACTATAATGTGGACGAATGGAACCCTTTTGTATGATTGGATGTTAGTTGGTAAAGCGACCCAAGATTGAAGTCAATGTCCATCACAAGAAATTTAGTAACTTAATCAATTGAAGGAAAACTTCCGCCAGTCCCTTCCATTCCCTATGTAATTAAGGTTAACTTGTCAAGTTCACGGAAAAGGGAACCTTACCGCCTTTTGCGAGCACTAACAAAGCCTCGGACTATTCTACGCCAATTCATCAGGAAACGAATCAACTAATCATGGTCGATGTTTGAATTCCTTCGAGGATGGCTGTTTTTCTAAGGGTTGTACTTCGTAAACTTTCGCTCATTGCGATTGACCCAACTTAAAAAGTCCAAGATCTCAAAGAAGGTCAAGTTTGAGAACGACAACTTAATATTGCCCTCCGCTCCATTTCCTAGATAAATGGCGTCAACAGATTGCACATCTATAGGTGACGACGTGATTAACGACTTCCAGAGGAGAAATTACCAACCTAGGGGTTTGAATAAGAAACGCATTTTCTGGAAACCTCAAGCTATTCTGAAAAAGGTGATTAAAAGTGAAATTTCAACATGTTGAGGCCTGCGCGTTCACGCCCTTCCCATCATTTAGTGATTATGATAGAGAGAACTTTTCATTGAGTGCGAAAGCCCATAAGAAAGGTGCACGACAATTTCTTGTTAGCAATAAGAGACGTTAGAAGAACTTTTTCTTCGTGATCGATTGCAACCGGAGGAAATGGCCGCAACTGCCAAAATATTAGGTTGTGAGGAAGCTTCTTGCCGTTATGGACCCTAAGTTCAATTGTACATGTCCCCCATTGCGCGATAGGTCTCTGACTCCTCTACGCACCACTCATTTTTAGTTATGTGCACAATCAAACATTTTAAAATTGAAGATATGGTTTAGACCGCGAGTGAAGAAAAAGGAAAACAAAGAAAATAAAAATAAAAACTGAATGAGAACATCGTTTTAGGAGATGGACCAGGTTGCATGCTGAAAAACACTTGTAGCCGACAAAGGAATGAGAAGAGACTCGGAGACGAGAGAGAATAAGGACGAGCGAGACGTAGACAGCCCATCACGCAGATCCACGAATCAGAGCTAGCAGAAACGTCACAGCGTTACTAGGTATCTTCATCAGCTCGACCACTGCTCATTTTCACAACCCTTTGATCACGTATTACTCGCTACTCGTCCGATGTATTCCCAAAGAACAATCCATTGACTGCCTTTGATGCGGTCTGTTATTGAGAGCATGATGGGAGAATTCAGTGATATTGATCACTTCATGGGCGAATACTACTCTAGATTTCACAGGAAACACTACTAATGATATAAAGAGATTCAGTAGCGAGAACTCACTCATATGGACTTCGGATGTCAAGCTGATTAGAACCGATTTGAAAGTGTGAATATCGATGAATATTCAAACGTTCATTGGTTGTCACTTCCATTACGATTTGATAGAATTGTATTCCAGTCATCGCTGATGACCAGCTAAAAAGAATTCATAATAGACGGCCAAGAAATTCTAGTCGAAATTCTGTTGTTGAGAACTTGACCCGTTTTTCACTTTTTCTTTGGCGTAAAAATGGACCGCTGGTAAAAGAAAAGCAGGCATGAAAATGATCACCGGCGTGTGGATGTGGCGATTGAGAATGAAAGTGGACCTGTTAAGACGCGGAAGAGGAGAGAATATAGGAGACGGGTGAGACGCAGACACCAACTCCCGAAAGCGGCTGCTTTTGATGCTTTAGACGTGTGCTTATGCCAGTAGCGTCTCTGGTGCTCTTACCACGCGTTTTTAACCCATTCGTGACAATGTCAGCCACCGGTGGCTGACATAGACCTCCCTCGAACAATGGCATCCACCGTTGGCTACCACGTTTCGAATGGATTTGGAACATTTTCCTCCATGAAAACAATCCTCATACCCTCATTCATCTACGTCAGCCCTGGGTAGAGGAAATCTCCGTCCACTCGAATTTTATTGAACAAAAATTTCCTGACTGTACTGCCATTGCACAATCCCACGCGGTCACGAATGGGTTAATTGCATGAATGCCTTGAGACCAAACTGCATCATTAACGGGGATTGTTTCTATGGATTCGCTAGAAGTGTCTTGAAGAAGCAGCGCTAAACTTTTAGCCAAGTCACTTTCGTACTACGCACAGTTACCGCTTATTTACTATTATTTTTCACTACTTACTTACTTACGTACAATGCATATTTGGTGCTACACCTGCAAGGGCTCGTGTTTCTGACTACTCGAGACTATGACCATTCTTTGTTTTACAATTATTCAGTGAAGGAACGATTCTCCGAAATTGAGTGACTCACCCGCAGACTCCTCCACTAACCAGGAAAGCGAACAGCAACCAGTGATCACATGCTATTATGTCGTTCATATTATGCACTTGACATATATCCCTCCAGTCTAAATATTAAAAAATAAGAAAACAAGAAAAAAGGGCAAAAAGCACAAAAAAGTCCAAGAGAACAAGTGATCAAATGACTTACATAGAAAAACTGCTGAACAAAAAAGTGCTGTTGAAATAGCGATTACCACCAAATAGCAAATAAAACTACGATGATTATTAGCAGCTACACAATTGTTGATCTGAACATAGAAAAATTAACCAATTAATAACAAATTGAAATTTCGAACATCTCCATTCGAAGGCGACGACTGTTGTGGCTGGCAAACTGAGGCACTTGGGGTTTTTATTGGTTGAAGTGAGCAGGGCGTTCTGTCCACACCCAGAGAGGTACCCGACAGGAGCAGGGTCAACCAAGCGTTCGCACTATTCGAACGAGGGGGGTCGCATTTGTGGTTGATTGTGAGAAGGGGGCCACATTGAGGGGTTGTGGGACTGGAATTAGCAGCTGCTTGAGTGTTGGGTGAAGATTGGTTTTTTAGGGATTTGGTGGGTGTAATTGGCCGCGTAGAAGAGGAGGGGGAAGAGAAAGTTCGTCCTTTTGTTGCGCTTATAACTCCCCCCCCCCCGCTTGACCCGCTTGATGCCTTTTTGGAAAAGTGGGCGGAGTTGGGCTGTGTGTCGATTGGTCATGATGGTGAGGTGACGGTCGGAGATAGGGAAGGGGGATCGTATAGGGGGAGCCTCCTGAGTCTAGCGGTGGTGATAAGGGGTCGCATCGAGACCCCTCTAAAGGAGGGGGTTGCGAAATTCTTGAAAATGTGCGAGCGTCACGGTTGACCCTGGACAGAGGTCTGTCGCGCGGCAAGAAGGCAGAGACGCAGACGAGGCAGCGGACGAGTCGCAGCACGTGCTGTAGCAAGTTACCAACAAGTTAGATAGTGAACTATAGTACGATATGCATTGCACAGTTCACTCTGCGACTCGTCCACTGACGTCCACTGGCAATCCTGTCGGGTACTTCAGTCAAAGCGAAGTAAGACGTGTGGTCGCACCGTCTCAATGCCGTTCCACTATGGCGACCTCCTCTCGCCTCCGCCTCCCAGCGATCGCACACTTCCTTTGACGAACTGGCGAATTGGTAGAGGGAAGGCGTACTGTTAGCAGCTTCCCTTCTGAGCACGTTCTTATAATTAGACCCTACGCGAATTACCGAATTACCCCTTTCATGATACCTGTGAGTAGAGTAAACAATGCTAAGCATCCGTAAAAGGCTGACAAGCTTTATGTGGGATATGTAGCAGGGGATTACCAGGTAGTATGTGCACCCTTGTTACGCGCGCCGCGACGGTTTCGAGGCGGTCACTCAGGATGAGAACCGGTGTATACGCAGACACGAAAACTGAGCACGCCCTTGGCTAAGAGGGGCATCGCTGGAATCAATTTGCCTCGTGCGGCACCCCGTGAGCCTAGTTCTGCTTCGGTGACCTAACAACACACCTGTCATCTGAGCTCCCGAGCTGCGACCCACCGCCACCAATAACTGGAGACGAACAGAAAATAAGACCCAGAGTTAAAGAAGAGAGGGAGGATGATTTAAAACAATGGGGAGAAGATCATTGCCTTTTTCAAAGATCAGCGCTTCGAAGAACAACCCAGACCTTGCCATGTGAGCTATTTTCTTCGCTCTGTAGGATAGACTGCTAGAGAACATAGGGCACTCCCAAGCATGGAATCGCTTAACAAGGGCGCTAGGGCTTTCCAAAGTTGGCTGCAGCAGCTGCAATGTTCATCGAACGCAGCAGGTTGTTACCTGGCACCCTCTCATGTTTTGGACCCTCTCGCCTCATACTCTCCACTCCCCGTTCAGTCTCTCGATACCTTAGCCCAGCCACCTTAAACTGAGCAAACCCACAACGTAAACGTTTTCGACAATTCTTTTTCATTTCCTTCACTGCCGATCTTTCTCAGCAATACTTTCATTCGTGTGCAAGAACCACACCACTTTGGTCCTGGGGCATGCTTTCATTGGCTGCCTTACCCAGGTCAGGTTAATCAGTTGTGGAGCTGAAACAAGCTCTCTCCGAGTCGTTTCCCCCCAAGTTCAGCTCAGTTCACTCTAGCGGAATGAAATTCAAGAAAGAACTTATTGAAGACCGGTTCTTGGATAACGATCGCATTCCTGATGCTGACGCTTGTGTGAAAATGAACCCACGGCCTGTTCGGTGGGTAACTAAGGAAACACCAGCACAACACCACCCAACCACCCTTCCTTCGAGGTGGGGGGGGGGGTGTTACCGAATATAACAAGTCGCGTATTGATAAAAGGCCAAACCGGCTACTCAGAAGCAACATTACATAATATGTATAAAAGAAAAATTAATCGCGAAACTGACCCAGGGACAATGATGATCAAATCTCGACACGCATCGATCACAATACCGGCAGTGTTTGGACCTTAACACACATAATTACTCCACAATGAAAAATCAGCAGGCCTGATAGAGTGGTAATTACCTACGAGTTGGCCCTAATTTTGTATACACCGTAAAACCTTCATGACTGTAATGACCCTTTCTCTCCTGCAGGTTGGGCTAGCACTTGTAAAACTTCTTTAATGTTTTTTATACGCTTTATCCGCCTATGCTGTTCCTTTAGACTTTAGACATATTTGTTGTGACGAGGGGTCCTCATTAACCGGCCTGTCAACCTGGGCCTGGCGCTGGTACTGAAATCATTTCTGCAATTTCTGCAGGGTATGGTTAACCTCGGCAGGGATTGCACTTGCAGCGTTCAGAGGTACAGACATAAGTCTATCTTAAGCACTCGGCTATCCCTGCCTTTTTTGTAACATAGCACTTTCCACTTTTTGTGCAGCATAAAACACCTTAATGAATAGAATAGTTAAGCCTTTTATTCTCATAGTGAAATTTTCACTGCGTGGCATAGGCAAGCTGTTTCGGTACCCTACTTCCTGATTTGTCTCAAACTGAACAAGACTGTGGTGTACAATACTTTCTAGAGAATTGGAAGATTAGAAAACCTTTATGAAAAAGCCGGATTTGGAAAGTCAGCCACTGTCGTCACCTTAGCCCTTTGAGGGATTCCGTTACCCGTTCCGCGACAATCGACACAGTTCACTTGACGAGACGGCCGTGAGTATGTCTGAATCGCTGTAGTAATCCGTTCGACTGATGTGACTTTGACATGCTCGGATACGAAGCCTATAGTAGCCGCTCGGAAACCACGAATTCCTAAAGGCTGCTTATGGAAAGTCCAGAAGTGAGTTCGAAGGCAGCTGCATGCGTGTCACAACACAATCAGCCTCAAGGCTCTGCTTCAAAACTGATTGAGGTCGATTTGAATGTGAACGTTGAATATGTTCCCTATATAATTGTGGATTGTTGCTTTCGGTCAGGATTCAAACTCGTCAGATCCTAACATTTTCTGAGTCTGCACAGTTAGAGCACGCCGTATATTTAGAGGAACCGTTTACGACAAAGGATGAGCGCATCGGGCATATGCAGCACATGAAGCACTTATTCGGCTGCCAAGGAAGCGAGGTGTGGCGCTCTCACGACGAAGGGTGCTCTAGTTGCTGAGCAGGACTTCGAAAGCACCCCTTCCCCAAAAGCGATCCGTCCACCAGTTTGGTTGGTGATTTGGACGAGCTGCGTTGCTAGCAGCGGCACAACTGGACTGACCTGGAGCGCTGTTTGGCATGGTACCACCAAAAGCGTCGCGGAGAACTCGTCCATACGTCTGCTTTACAAGCTATTGCCTGTTCATTATTGAAAACCAAAGGCAAAAAAGGGGGCCCATTTTGTGTTTTCTTGACGGCTCTCTGTTTTTTTTTTCGCCACTGGCGTACCATTGAGCACCACCACGTCTCTTCCAAACCCTTTTCGAACCTATAGTCGCTGCTTTTGACATTAATGGAATAAGGAAGAGGGCGACGGCATTTTTCGAATAACTGGCCAAAATTTCGAGTGTATAAATGTGGAAGGAACATTGTTGGAGGAACAAAAAGAGGATTGTAAGAGGAACCATGATGGCGGTCAAAAGGAAAATATACAGTACAGCTACAGATTTTATGGTACATACAGTAAACAACAACAATTTAAGTACCTGCTTGGCTTCATTAATAAACACGTTGGACAAAATGTGGTTGACGGGCACTTCCCCTCACTAATATTGATAATAGTTTTGCATCTGAAAACACCCATATTAAGCAAACGGAAGACCAGCGAAAACAAAAATAACACAAACATTTTTTCGAGCGATCAACACGGAACAATTTTGTTTTGAAGCTTGCATTCAACTCATTACTGATCGGTCCAAATATTTTTCCCGAATTCACTTTCCAGCTCAAATTTGTACAGAAGGTCCTTTTTGATCGGTATTATTGACTACCTTTTGCGATGGATCGCCATTGCACGCTTTTTAGTACAGATTTTTTGAGGAAGTGTTGCACTGCATCGCATAGATATGCGCTAGCCTCTTTGCGTCAATACTCTATTACGAATTATTCATGGCACATTCTGTGATATACGACGCGGCTAAACTTGATCGTAGGTGTCATTTGACCTGGCTGTGCAAAAATAAGCAAAAGGAACTGCTGAAATCACCGGAACCCAAATACCTTGTTATGTCTACATAGTCTACAGCACTGTGCGATCCACGGCAAAGAAGAAGGTGCGGGCTGGGGGAGTAGACATTGACAATGATTAGACGAGAAAAAACGGACATCAGGACGGGAAGACCCTGGCTTGGCAGCAATCAAAGAATAAGCAGTGAGACGGAGTAGACTTGTGGATGATGTGAGCCCCTGTCACGCACCTCAAAGGAGCATTTCACGATAAGGTGAACGGAAAACGTACCTTGTGAGAAACCAGGCGGACTCTCCTAGGACGCAGCAGAGGATATGCATCCGGCGATCTAGCATGGTCCTCCCCGCGCGGCTATTGGCGCTGCACGCCCATCGACTGGCTAATGACTCGACGCAGGTCTTTGGCGGTTTACAGAGACAGCATGTCGTTGAAGAGGGCACAACGATGAGAGCCGTATCAGTGCGGAAATCAACGGGCAAGAAAGGGGACCATTTTTTTGGGTTTTAGGCGGTTCGTCATAGTTTTTTCTTCATCCTGGCACCACTGACCACCTTTGCCTTGATTCTATTGGGTCGCCTTCTAATCGTTAATCACGCCTTTAGGACTGTAAAAGTGACACAACCTGTTTTTTTTTCTGAGAATCAGCCAAAAGAGTACGGGTTTGTACCACGCAGGCAATAAAAAGTTATGCTGCTGAAAAGACAAGCTCTACGTGCTCTAATAACGTTTATCTAGAATACCTGAGCTCACCTCTCTTGATAAGTTGTATTGATGTAACCCGGATCACAATAAGTCACCGTGAAGAACGTGAACGGTAAAATGAAAAATGAAAAAGTGAAAACGCAATTTGCATGTACCTAAATGAACGAAAATAAGAACTGATAGCATGAATGGAGCAAGAAAATGAGCATTGCTATTTCAAAAAAAAACTTGCTGATATAGATACTATGCTTCTTCATTTGCATACTACTAAGGTACACATAAGTAACTTGGATTTTGAAAAAAAAAGAAATCTGCTGACCATGTGGATATCGGTTGAAGATAGAAAAACCAAGTGAGAATCAGTGTGACTTTCGTTGAAGTCGCTATTGATGGCGGTATCGAGTCCAGAAGATCAGAATTTGAAAATTTTCTGAAAAAAATGTATCCTGAGGAACTAAAACTAATACCAACTTTGTAGCCGATTATGCAAAACTGTAGCGATATTGCGCGACTACCCCTTAGTTAAAGGCAAGATACAGGATTAGAATTTATAGAACTTCCACTCAAATGTGAAAGTAGGGGTAGGTAGTGGACCTCCAGCGCAGAAAATAGAGGAAAAAAAGTAGTGAAATGCTTAGGAAATACGAGCCATTTCCTCTACGGTGCGGGTTCAAAAGGCCGGCAGAGAGATGAGATATAATGTGAGCGCAGAGCGCTAGAGAAGTCTAAGTAGAGAGAGCATGGCAGATCAACATTCCGACGCAGTCAAGATACCGAGCGGTGGGCGGAGCGTGTCGCAGCAGGTGGAGCGTGTGCGTGTCAAAGTTCTTAGCGCCTAGCGTCTAAATAACGGTTTTCAAAGCAGGGAAGTGACGCGACTCTCGCGACTTGCGTACCTAGCGCTTCTAGCCACCGTAGAGGCTCATTAAGTGGGTCTGAGCCCGAACTTAGTCTTCAACTAAACTTCCTCATTTCTTGGGATGCCACACCCTGTGTGAGAATCCTCCACCGTCATGAACTGCGTCTCCAGAGAACATCTTATCAACTACGGTACCCGACAGGAGGCCCGTCGCGCGGCAAGAAGGCAGTCAACGGAGGATCGCACTGCAGCGATTCCGCTCCTCCTACCAGGTCCAGTCAACTATGACCCCTGCGCGACATTTACCTTCTTCTTTGTTTTTCGCGTAGTGACAAACCAGACACCCATTTTCAACAAATTTGGGAATTCCATCACAAAAGAAAGGAGCTTTTTAAAATTGTTTTCGCCTGATTGGCGGCCTTATCGTGGCCGTATTACGATATAGAGATTTCAAGGAGAAGTCTCAGGGCTAGCTAAGACCACTGGTTTCATATTGGCCGACAACGGTAGGGAGTAGCACTACTCATTACGAACACGATCCATGAGTATGAAAACAGTAACTCATACTTTGGCTGGCATCAATTCATTCTGCACATTCTGCATATATTCCAAATTGCGTACAAATGCTTTTGCCCACTACTTATAAAAGGAGAATGCGTAGCGCTTCTTAGTGAAGGATTTATTAAAGGTGAATGCAGTAGGATTTAAGTTGTACGCATATGCCATAGTCACTACTCAGGGTCACTACTATGTTGCGACAAGTACCAACGGGGGGGGGGTCATATTCTGGTGAGTTTGTAAGTGGGGGGGGGTCGTATTCGATATAATCTTAGGATTCATAGGTGAGTTCATGGGTGAGTTTAGGGCGCGTAGTGTGAAGGAGCGGGAAAAATTTTGCCGTTTCACTGTACGTATATACTCCCCCCTGCGCCGCGGCTGTTTCGGAGGGAAAAGGGCGGAGATAGGTGTATTGGCTGGGCCCAGAAGTAGATCCTATACAAACAACGATCATGGTGACGAGGGTGGTGAAGGGGGGGGGGGAGTCGTAAAAAAATTTCCGGAAAGTCGCAAAAAGTCGCAAAGTAGGACCGACTCTGACTCGAAATAGCGCACCTATGCGTGCATCAAAAAATAAGTAAATAAATTAGGGCGAATGCAAGATGATGGATTTCTAACTTGTACTCACAGTGGAAAATACTTGCAGATCATGACAGTCAGTAGGAGATAAGCGAGCTTAATCGAAAGTGAGGTACTCAGATGAAGAATCAGCCATATGCAGAAGTAGAGGAAGAACGGCACACACCACAGTATTCGCCTTGACGTGTTCTGAAATTAGATTTTCACACATCCACCTTTCGAAGACGCATGAGCTTGAGGTCAAATAAAGCAAATTTCAAGACCACCACGCTACTTGTTACATTATAATAGCTATAATGCTTTCAAACGCCGCGCTAATTCTATCCACCTTATTCTCGGTGAGTTTCTGCCGCCATGTGGAGTTCATGAGACCCTTTTGTCGAGCCGCTAACTCAATCCTCGAAATAAGAACACTATCGCCACGACGTACAGCGATGTCCAGCGCCGTTTCGTTGTCACGATTCGTTGCCGCCAAGTCGCAATCGGCTGGAAATAAACTTTAAAACATTTGTAGTCTTTAGCTCAATCCGAGGCCACCATTGGAAAAGGAAGCTGATTCGGAGGACTGGAGAAAGACTCCTAAAGTCACTAGTCGGGATAAGGTGTCAAGAAGTAGTCTCTCCTGAGTGAGAAAGAGGGGTCCCCAAGCGCAGGAGCCGCGATACTGTTGCGACTCAAAAGTGCAAGACAACGGCGCTGAGGCCTTGCCTTGTGTGCTGCCTTGCTGCCATCCTTACCAGAGTCAACCCTGCGTTGCGCAGTTCTCAACGGTCACGTTGCGCAGTTTCGCCCGATTAGACACGTTCTCTCGCACGAACATTCACACTCGCATGCTCGAGCCGTCTGTGTCTCCGCCTATACAGCGTGCGTTGAGGATCTCTCAACGTGCCGTTGCGAACTGCGCAACGTAGGGTTGACCCTGATCCTTACTAATCGCGGCATACGTGGTGTCTGCGCTCTCTCACGTACAATGTGCTTTCTCGTGTTTTCCCTCTCCTCGCAGCGCTGTGACTTCGTAGTACCTCGGCCAATCTCAGAAGGGAAATTTCGATGTTTTCTTTGGCGTTTTTTGCTCGTTCTCCTTCATAGCGTTCCTCATTGCATCATGTCTAAATTCGAGATAACACACAAACTCAATTTTCACCCTTGCCTTCAAGCTTCACAACCTTGACGCTCTCTTTCGTTTCCCAACGAATAACCTTAAGAATCAGGATCTACGACAATCTTGCAGCCACTAATGGATCTTAGTCTAGCTGTAAAAACGTTTTGTGACCCCTGTCCACTTTTTCACTCTGTACTACAGTATTGCCCATCATACTTACAATTAGCACAATGACATTGCGACGAGAACTTATTCCGAAGTCACAGAACCCTAGCACAGCCATGGGAGGAATAAATAAGGTTCAGGTGCGACATTTGTTCGATATTACCTAACTTCTTACTGCATTCAACCTCATATCTAGTAAAATCTGAAAAAACCTTCGATGTTGATCTACACCTGCGCGGGATACGCCGCGCACAACATTTATTCTGAACTGTACTGACGTTGGGATGCTACTTAACTGTAAGGCGCTGAATAGTGGGTCCAGTGGAAATCTAAGTCGGTGCATTCATCTGTATAGATAAATCTGGTGTCACCAAACCCACCTGGGCGTAACGGAAGGTTCTGTCGACTTGAGCGTGATTCGATCCCTGCACCATGCGTTTGGTGAAAGGTAGGTTCTATCTGCCACTCTACCACCTCCAAACTAACGGTCGAGGATCTCCTTGAACATGGCTCTGTACTGTCCGAGTGTAGTGCCGAGAGTGGACGTAAGCGAGGAGGACCCAGAAGGTTCGTGCATGGAGAGCGTGAATGTCGGCGCGGGAGAGCGTATCTGATCAGGGAAAAATCCACGACGCGCTGCTGAGGAATTCTCGACCGATATTCACTGCCTCCAACCATCCTCTAGTTCAAATACCATTGCGAATTTCGAATGTAGTAATGTTACTTTGATAGCGAAACGCAGCAGTGGATGACACCCTTCAGTTGCGAGAATCTTTCGCTCATTTCCGTCTTACAGCCCTTTTTCACGTTCTAGAGGGACCCATGTCTTTCATCTCGCCACCGGACTCTTCTCCGATGTTGAGGTCAACTACAACTTACTACAACTTCCCTAGTATTTTCTTTGCTTCAAAATATCACCCATAATTCAATTAGGACGAAGCCATAATTTTCTAGGAGAAGCAGCTATCTATTAGAGTTTACCTTTCAGAAGAGTATTTACAGCTGTAATGTTGCCGTTGGTAGCAGCCCAGTGAAGCGGAGTGTTGTGGTAGGCAGCATCAGCTTTATTCACATCAGCACCAAGAGTTATCAGCAGTTGTAGAGGATCAGGTTGGGGACACTGCAAAATTTATATTTATTTAATTTCTTCAATTTTTTTGTTTCGGTCTTACTTGATACAAGTAACAGCCATTTAAGAATCTAATATTATCATTACAAGATTACTACTCTAAGCCTACTTACTTTCGCTGCTGCCCACATCGCCGGCGTTATCCGTGACTCATCGGGCGCGTCGACAGACTGGCCCCGAGCGATGAGGTAGCCGACGACGGGTGTGGCGCCGAACTGAGCCGCGACATGTAATGGAGTGAACCCTAGAAATACTTTGTTGGGAAAATACGAAGAGGAATGGTTGACCCGAAGAATAGAGACCTTCGACATCGCGTTTCTCCACTTGAGCACCGTTTGTCACTAGAAAGGCAACCATCAATACGTGGCCCTGCCGTGCGGCCCAGTGAAGTGGCGTTGAAGCTAGCACACCCCCGACAGCGTTCACATTGGCTCGCCGTCGCAGAAGCAACTCAGCCACCTATAAGAGGCAGATTAATTGATCATATCCGGAACTCGCAAAGAGGGAATTAGCCGAATATTCCGAAAACTTCATTAATAAAGGTTTCATGCACGACATTTGGGACGGCTTTAGTGGAACAAGCTTATGACCACTAAGATTCCACTTTATGGTCAATAGGGTGTGCACCATTTGATGGAGCTAGTAAGTAACGCCATTATACGTGGCTTTTGACGCCAACGCTATTTCGTCCCTTGAACACGCCATGCACTTCCACTGAGAGCCCGTTATGGCGAAGGTCATTTAGGCGCGTCAACCTACTGCTGCACTTTCGCGCCGGGTGAGTTGCTTAAAGTTAATGTACATCCATTGCTGTTTCTTTTACAGCACAAATCCCACGTGTATTTTTGATTGATTAATTGATTGATTGATCGATTGATTGATTACATGGACAAGTGCATCATATGAAACATAAACAGAAAACATAAAAAACCAAAGAACAAATTCATCAAAATCTCCTGATCATATTCACAATTCAGTTACTTGATTGTCTTCTTTTGCTCGAAATCTGAGTGAATTCGGAAGCAAAACATGTTTTTAATGGAAAAGAAAATAAAAGGGAAAATTGGGAGAAATGGGGAGAGTTTTTGAAAAAACTTCTATCACATTGCCACTTAGTTTACAAATGGCTGTGATTGGGTGCATTATCTATACGAAATTTTGTGCCGCGCGCAACACAACTTTCGCCGCGCTGCGCAACTTGGACCTCCTGACCCACACCCCTACGTACACACTGCAAAAGTTAACTAACGTACTGGTGTGTTTGACCTAACAACAAATAACAATTATATGCAGAATGAGCGGATTACGGGACAGCTCGAAACAGATGACTTTTCTTCTTACATGCAATCGATTGTTGATGGCAGCCCAATGAAGAAGAGAACAGTCATCCGAATCGGTCCAGTCCGGGGTGATAGCACCTGAAATTTGATAACATAAACAATCCTGAATTCAGGGTCAGAATTTTAACACCTCTCCCCTTCACACAATTTGATTTCTTTGATTCTAAAATGATTCTCTATACAAAACTGATTTGAAATACACCTCAATTTTTCATCCCTCATTCGCCTCACTCCTGCTGCACTACATTGTTCTCATTGCATTACCTCACTATGTACAATGTTGTACTTACAGCTTCAGCGCAATGTAACTGTACTGTAGACGTCATATGGACTGTAATTTCCATTTATAGGACATACTCTACAGGAATCTTCTCCAATATTTGCTTTGACGACTCGGATTAACAACTCGTTTCCTCCCCACTTCGCATTGGAAATTGCCCCTTGGGTTCAATGGCGCAGGACAGTTTTTGGAGCAAACCAGCAGCGCACTGAAGAATCGTCTTCGATTGTAGAAAATTGTCCAGAGCAAAGCTTTTCCTATCTGCTGACAATGAGTATCTTTTAGAACAGTGATCATCATGGCTCAAGAGCGTGCGGTCTTGATGATGCCAAAGAACGCCATTGATGGCAGGGTGATCTAGGGCGACTCCAGCCGCACCTCCACCACGATGAGGGGTCTAGTCCAGCAACGCTCATGTGACGTCATCAAAACCGCACCACCCTCCAGCAATCGTAATCACTGTCTTTCAGAAGAGCACTGGATCGCTCAGTAAGGAGAGCATGGGACTCCAGAGTCTAGAGCGAACGAACGCGAGAAGCACCAAAGAAAAGATGGAGGATGTTATCAAAAAGTAGACATGACGCCCAAGCAACGGTAAAAAATCCTGGATAGAAGAACGAAACGTGACTTGACGAGAACAGTGGTCTAAGCCTCGGCGAGGGATAAATACCAGAAGAATAAAATAACAGATAAATACCAGAAGAAAAAAAGGACAATCCTCGCTTCACTGTCCATGGGCCGTAGGAATTTTTTCTCCAGCTTAATCAATTTCCGACATATTGAATGTTTCCATAACTAAACGCAAGAAACTCTTGAACCTAATAAAATCAGAAACCTACAGGGACGAAGAGGAAGGGCTATCTTATATTTGGGCCTTCATTCTGTTGGTAAACTGAAGTCAAATGAGCTATATGGAAGATTCTTACCCTCTTCCCAAGACTTTCACCTGTGCAGCTATCTTCACGCACCTTGCCGTTTATCACCCAAAAAAGCATGACCGCTTTGGCAGTTATAAAATACCCATTTCCACTGAACTGCATCCCTCCCTCGTAAAGCACATCGTCGTGGTGGCCCTAATTTCATCAAACGCAAACCGGAAACTGGAAAGCGATGGAAGCCTGTAGACAACTGTGAAAAGTGACCATTATACGAAAACAACGGCTAATAGAAACAGGATTTTGTGAACGAAAACAAACTTCTGATTAGGTTTTGATCGGATGGGGTGGGACAGGATCCATGATAGGCAAACGCTGGAATTCGGATTTGGAGATAGAAGGAGGGAGTGTTGAACTGCTCGAGGTTAGTGTGCGGCACTCGCCCACTTTACAGTATATAAAGAAAAAAAGGAAATGCGAGATGAAGCTCTCGGAGGACGCTTAGGAGACCTTCACCAATAAAGGGCTTTTCGAGCGAGCTGTAGAGTAGCTCTTTCTGAACGGCCGGAACTCAGAGAATTGGACGCTGTTCCAGATAGAGGAGGGCATTCCTGCGCAAGAATTCGCGCAGATTACGGCAATTCCAGTTTTCACAAACGGTCCTTCAAAATTATGGATTCTGTGAGCTTCCCATCAACGCCTTTCTTGATTTAATTGTAGGACCTTCAATGCTGGATAGGGCGAAGGACTATTTGTGAGTCAGAGGATGAAGATTCCTGGGACAAAAGGGGTGAGCATTTTCTATCATGCAGATTGGGTTTTTGCATTCCGTGTGAAGTGTTTCACAGACCAGAGTTCCTGTCTCTTTATTTGAGCGAATGCAAAATGCTCATTCTTATAATTTGACGTGTTTATTCTGGCCAACACTACCCTCCATCCTCCCTCCTTCCTCGCCCTCTCTGAAAGAGCTGAATTTGCAGTGTGAAATAATGAGTATTACAGCAAAAATACATCAGTGGCCCAATGGATAATTCTATCAGCCCTCAGCTTACTCAGAGCAACTATGTGAAAATTTGGTGTAACTGGCATGTTAACTGCGATAACCAAAGCCAGACAAATAGTGTTATTCATGCTGTCCTATCCTTTACATAAGTAATAGACATATACAGTAGCCATGACGCGGCAATCAAATAATTTACTTCACCAGAAGTCATTTCTGCTCCATGGAGTTCAAATACCGGAGGGTACTAAGACTACTCGAGCCTAGTGGCCGTATGGGGTCGGTTAATTAGCGCCAAAATCGTATCTGAGAATAAAATACTGACTCGCATATGGTTTGGCCCACAAAACCGTTGCGCTCGAACACAAACGCCAGTACGATCCCGAATGGAAGCACAACGTGTGGCGCATCTTGAACCCCTTGATCTGCACGGAATGGTTCCACTTTTGTAAGCTACCTCGACAATGCATTTTTGACCATTTAATTGCCTTATCAGAACATCGTCTAAAGCTATCCCACCGCAAAATGCATAAAAAATTGCAGAAAAACCGGATAATATAGACAAATGCTTTTTTTGTAATGATGAAAAAAAGTTGAAAAAAATTGCGTTTTTTTTTTCACGCTGCGCGTGACAGCCATAACAGCTTGACTCACTCGGCACGCAACGCAATAAAAAAGTGAAACACGAATACGAAATTGTAAACTTCAATCAATTCACATTTGATGAGCAGCGCTTAGAAATATTTGTCTAGGAGGGTTAACACTACAGGACTTCTGTTATAACTAGAATTTGCGCTGAGCAAATGCTAAATTTGCCAGTGTTTGAAAAAAGCCCGCGAGCAATCAATACCTATCTCTAATACTCTCGTCCTTTCGACTCGAGATTGGAGATTATCTCATTGGCCCTAACATCTGATTTTTCACCAGAGAAGCCTGGAAAATATTTAATACCAGAAATCTATGCAACCGAATTTTATGGAATTATCGAAATATTCGAATATCATGAAAGCCCAAAGTTCAAAAAATGTCCCTACAGGTGCCACTTCAGTGTCTTCCCACACAGAACTCAACAATTTGAAAAGCATTCCAAATAGAAAAGTAATCTTAGTCAAAAAAAAACATTGACAGAAAAATCCTTTCGATCAATACTTATCTCAGTAATGGAGAATATTTTTTAATTGCCCTTGAATCTCACCTGAAAAATTATCATGACTCATAACTTACCACTATCTAGCAATTGTTGCAGTCTTTCAACATTCCCATACTGTGCTGCTTCACGTGGATCCATTGTGAAGCATACAGGATCAGCTCATATGTCACTGTAAATGCTGATACTAGTGTGGATGTAGTAAAGTTACTAGTTAAAAATTACAAGTTACGGTCACAAATCAATAATTGCAAGAAAATCACAAAGATTTTTTAGAAAATGTGTAGAATACGAGCTCGGAGTCACTATTTTTCTCCAGAAGGCATAGAGAAAGAAAAAAATGGATGAAAAATGGTGTGAGGAGAGCCTGTACAAATAGGCTGAAGAAAAAAATCACAACAGCAACTCATCAGTGTTTCCCCTACGAAACCTTGCTAGGCCACTTAACGGTGGAAAAGTAGGGTTTTAATTGGAGCACTAAAGCTAAAGCGATTGTAGACGACTAGTATGTGGGAGAACGGTTGAATTGCTGAGAACGTGGAATTCTAATCAGGCGTTCACACGTGGTTGCCAACAGTGGTGTGGGCTGGTATACCGGCGATTCTATGGAGAAGCTGATGACAACACTGACAGCGGCGACAGCAAAGACACTCATACACACTTCGATGATCCTTATCGAACGACCTCCATGCCGACGAGGATTTCCAGTTCAAGCTTCGTTGTAATGTGCCATATATGGCACCACCAACTGTAGAAGATATAGTGAGTGAAGCAACGGGACGAGGTTGAGGAATGGAGAATGGAGGAAAGGCGAAAAATGCAAACCAATTGTTTTGCTACCTATCTGGCCATTAACACTTGTTCTTGGTAAAATAATGGACCAAGGCGTTCGAAAGGTCCCAGATCTCCAATGACTATCCCACACGGGGAAGCATGTTGTCAAGGGAAATTTCCTAGCACGATTTTCCTCACCATTCTCAACATCTTCCTCTAATCATTTCCACTCCTCAAAATTTCGTGGAGTGGGGCAGGGGGCGGCTACTGTGACAGGGTCAACCCTACCGTAAAGACCTTTTAGAAAAATTTTACGACCCCCCTCCTTCTTGTGAGAATTCATACGACCCCCTCTTCACTACACCTTTCTCCCTCAAAAAAACACCGTCTAGCGGGGATGGGGGTATATAACTTCCATAAACCGCAAATTTTCCTTCACTTTTCCTATATTTTACCTATATTTCTGCCTATTCAAACAACCACTTTTTCCAGGGGCATATATACGCACAGTGAAACGGCAAATTTTCTCCCGCGCGCTCTCACCTCATCACATTTAACTTCATGCTACCGAAGCAAATACGACCCCCTCCCCCCACAAGCTCAACAAACTACGACCCCTCCCCATTGGTACTTGTCCCAACGTACAGTTGACCCTGTACTGTGGCTTTACGCTCAAAAAACCCTCGCGGCTTCGTTTGAACACCGTAAGTGGCCAAACTGGTCAGATACCTATCTGCCAGTTTTGTACTCAGGCCGATGCAAAAATAGCAGTATAACCGGTTATGATACCAGTTGTAGTTGGAATGGGACAAGTTATACTATCATATGTATTTATTTATGCTTATTATTATATTATGTCACCTGACAATCTGAAAAATTCAATAAGTGGCACAATCTAAGCACAAGAATACGATATTGTCGACTACGTAAGAGCTGACACTAGAGAGCCTATTCAAACAGAAAGGTTACTATGGTTACGAGAAGTTTTTGTAGCGTCTACAATATCCTCTTTCCGCCCAAAAGGGTCGCGCTAATTTGCATACGGGAACGATCCCTCCAAAGATTTGCAGGATTTAAAAAGAATTCGTTCCTAATTCAAATCGCCTAGAGCCTTATAAAAAGTGTACAGCTTTTAGCACACTTTGAAAGGTTCAAAAAAGTGTGCCAAGACAGAACAATTCAGCAGATCTCATTAAAATACCTCACTGAACAAGAGGTCTTCAACACGTTGAGAAAAATGCCGCTGTCGGGCTTTAACCGAAGGTTTTTGTATGCGCTTACCATTTTTCTTTTCGAAATCAATTATACTTTTGTAGGGCCGATACTTTCCGGTACTGCATTTTGCCTGTTACAGTTTTATTGCAATTAAATAACAGTGATTATACAATAAATCTTGACCATTCAGCAGAGAATTGTGCGCCAACTAGCAATACAGGAGAGATTATGGCTCACAAGCGTGAATTTTACTTCTACAGTTTCGCGAGAGCCACAAAATTTAGATGAAGCATGAAGACGGTAAGGTAGTGTACATAGTGCCATTTATAAAGAGAGTTGCTATGGAATTAGCTGTTTTGCAGCGCTGTCATCAAACTAAGTTGCTAGCTCTACTACCTCTCGGTTGACAAGCATTTCAGTTCAGAGGAGGTGACTGCGATAGCTGGGAGGAGGAGCTAATTTGGAACAACCATTAGTGGAAGCCCCCTTGAAAATTAGCTCCACTTCCCAGCTGTCGCACTCATGCTTTTTAAGTTCGAATCTTGGACCAGCTAACATCATCGTTGAGCCCGGGGTTGTTCGGAAAGTCTCCGGCGTTTTTAGTAACTCACTTTCAAACGCTTCATTTCTGAGTTACTTCTGAGAATTGCTACCATTTTATGTATACATCAGTGGAAAAAACTTTTCTCGCCCTGTCAAAATCTACTGTTACTTTTGCCCTAAACAGTTTCTCGAGTCTATTCCAGTTAGGGGGGGGGGCATCGCGATGCAGCTTCTCGGCGAACTAGGGTGAACTCAAACATTAAAGCTTTTCACGCATGTTAAAGCCACGAGTCAGGATTAGGCCGATGTCATAGTTTGCGGATCGAGCGATTCGCTAGCGCTGCCAGCGTAATCCACCACGGCACACGTGGTCTCTGCGTCTCTCACGTATGACGTGCTACCTCGCGTTCTCCCTCTCCTCGTAGCGCTGTGTCTTTCCGTCGTACTACGGCCGGCCTCCTAAGGGAAATTTGGTGTTTTCTATGATGCTTTTTGCTTTTTCTCCTCACTAATGTTCCTCATTGCACCCATTGCATTACGTTTGAATAAAATAACGCATCAAATCAATCCCGACTCGTGCCTTTAAGTGACTGCCCTCACCCCACCCCCCTAGACAGGCCACACTCAACTGGCTCGGAGTTACCCTAGCTTTCTGGAAAAACTGCATCGTGACGCCCCCTTGCCTGGAATAGACCCCGCATTTTCTTCTTTTTTGAAGTCTTGAATACAACATTCTCAACAGGCTGTTATGTACGTTGTATGTAGAATGTATGTTCATACTCCTCTCAAATTTGGTCGGAAAGTACCGAACAAGTCAGGATATCAAATGGGCATTTGGTCCCAAATCCACAGAAAATTCGACGTGCATTAGTTATTCAAAATGGTTTTCTCACCAATATAAAGCTTCGAAGAGGATAAGGGTGAAGGTCGGATGTCGGAGACTGACAAAAGTTATTTGAAGGTTTTGACTGAACCAAATCTGCATAGAGCTGTCGAACAGCCCGCTTCGTGATTAGGGGTAACGGAGAAGGAATTCCCAAATATAAACGTGTCCAAAAAACGTCCAAAGAAATCGACAAGTGGGTGCAGCCGACTGTTTTCCCCACAGTCGAGCAGCCCCATCTCGCCCTTCCAGCCGTGCGCAAGGTGAACTAACCGAGCTACAAAACTGTGCTGCAAAATACAAAATACAGCCTTAAAAATTTCATGGCTGAAATGATATTGTATTATGAAAAGGAAATATTTGAAATTGGGATCAGGATTTCAGGATTTTTACATGGATAAGAAAAATTGAAATTCGCTCTTTCTACGGCTGAGCCCTAAGGGTACTAACAAGACCGCAAGAGCATGTTGAACTGGCTTTCAACCTTGTTGTCATGTTCTTTTCTGTGTTCTGTTTTTTTTTAGAATAAAACTTCTAGCTCCACCATTTATCATAAAGCGAATGAAAAAAATTGCCCCAAAAACCCCATGTTATTCCACATTGCTACAGTATGACCTAAAGACCAGCTGGCATGTACTCCCTTTCAAAAAACGAGAAGAGCGTCAATGCAGACCATACCCTACAAATGACGACGGCCTCCACAAAATGTAAATGTTTTCTGCCAATGAAATATTTAGCCTATTGCACTTTTATTCTATCAGCTGTCACTGATCACCACTATCATTTACCAAAAATCAGCTACCACTATGAACCACCACTAACCAGATTCACTTGGAGGGTGTATGATATGCGCCTAAAGCTCTTTTCGTTATTTGAGAGGGTGGGTAGACGATTATTTATGTAGCCTCATTTGTAATAAGACTGTAGTTAAGACAATGTGATGTCAGTAGACACCTCACCACACCTATATGGCCTGAACTCCAACCATGCTAACCAAGTCATTCTTTCGCTGGCGATTAATTCCTCAAAAAAATAGAGGTACATGTAAGTACAAGGGTAAGTGTAATTTACGATAAGAATACTGTGTCGACCATCATCACATCTGAGCGCTAAATATGGAGGAGCTTAATGAAAGTGGAAGAACAAGGGTCAAGAATTGACCAAAGCCAGCCACTTTAACGTCTGTCCGCTGCTTATAAAAAATTAAAGCAAACGGAAACAAGAAAGGCAAAATCCTGGCATGATTCATATGAAAAGCTCTATAGGTAATGAATGGTGCAGTCTCAGCATTACCAAAGGCCATATAGAGGAAGCACGAAAAAAAGACGTGAAAAATTAATGATTATAGGGCACGGCCAGATGGTCCAAATGTGAAAGGGAGGGAGGGCCGTTTTAGATGGGTTTCCTCAGAATATGGGGCTGTTCCATACAAAAATCGGACTTGCTACGCTTCTAAGGATAATAACTAGAATCAAGTTCAAACAATGTTCATACGCTATTAATCTCTCGATAGGAACTGAATGCATGGCGCAATTAAGTCAAACACTTATTTTATTGATTGATGGAGGCAATAAAAAATCAGCCGTGATGATAACGAAAAATTCAGGAGCCTAATAAATTCTGACGAAATAAGCGTTCAGGAATATCAGTGCTTATCGCTCATGGGTCAGAAATCGGCAAAATTTGGCCGAAGGTTTTTTAGAAAGGTCCAAACAAATCGAGCTGC